TGGGGGTTGCCGCTGCAGAGCCTGATGCTGCTGCCGCCGCTGCAAAGGCCAATGCTGCCGCAGGCACTACTGCCTCTAATACGCCATGGTGGCCGCGCACTCTGCGCGAGGGGAGAAGAGAGACAGGACCGCAAAAGAAAACTACATCTATAACAGGGAGAAGCAGAAATGGCCGCGCGGCGCGGCCCTCCGACCTTTATAGACTCGGCCAGAGACGCAGCACAAGACGCATCCTTCCGCTGCGCCACGTGACCTTGTCGCAGACCCACTCGCTTGCGCGAGTCTGCGCCTCCTCCGACTCCGCTTCTCCGTTTTTATGTTCAGGGAGTAACTATGAAAGTAGGGGAGTTTATTTTCAATGTCTCAGGGAAAGAAAAAAAGCACACTATTTTACAGGAGGCCTACGACCAAACAATCACCTTCCTCCCTGTGCCGCCGCGAAGTGCGGAAGGATCTGTGAGACACGCCTTGGTTCCGGTGTTAGTTCCGTGCGCGGGGAGAGAAAGGCTTTCAAGTTTTTTTTTTATTGCGAAGCCCAAAGCCTCATGGTTATCGCGCGAGATGCTGGAAGTGAATGCGCGTCAAGCTGATTGGTCCTAGTGTGGTGAATCATTTCTATCTCTAGTTCCTATTGGCTCACAGCCTGAAGTGGGCGGGCAGCTGCACAGGTGCGCGCGGGAAAGGATGGAGCCGCCAGTACGGTTAACGTCAAAGTATTGTAGCGTTCGTTGCCTTCCGTCTCAGACAACTTCGCAGGAGAAGTGTCAACCAGGGACCTCTCCCTAGGGGCCGTGACCGCCATGCGCCCCTAACGGTGGCTTCAAGCCCTGGCCCCTGTATCTCCTAGCCTCAGTCTCTTCCCCGACCAGAAAGTTACTGGGGCCAAGGCTTGGTTTTCCAGAGCGAGCCCTCGGTGGGCGCTGGCTTGGTCCTCCGCCCCCCAGGCTCGGGGGCCACAGTTGGAAGGGCGGGTGTTCACGTTAGATCGCCAGATTCCTCCCCACCTATTCTCAAAGGCCTTCCTCAAAACCCCGTAGAATCTACCGTGTAGATTGAGCAAGATCCACCATGTTAGTGCATTAATTATTTCCACGTTGCTTGCTCTAAAACACGAGTGTATTGTTAAACTGCAGCGTATTCCTGTGTAGGCGTACTTCTTTAGGAATATACGTGTTCAGATACTCCACTGGCATTTCTCCAAGCTGGTTGAACTGTTTTGTAACTCTCAGGCATAACCAAGTTCCCAGCAAGTCATGTGAGACGTTTGAGGACACACTTGCTGTCAGCTCCCCAAAGTGGAGCTGCTATAGAGGTCCTGATAATCTTCCCCATGCTCAGACTCTCCACTGACCCTCTAAAGGTAGAAAACTTGGAGTTCCACCTCTATTATTATTATTTTTTTTTTTTTTTTAACGGAACCGGGGATTGAACTCAGGCCCTTGCGCTTGCCAGGCAAGTGCTTATTCTACTGAGCCATCTCCCCGGCCCCTCACCTCTAGGTCCTACAAATACCATTTCAATAAGGGTTGGCTCTGTCATTGATTAGGTGAGGCATTGAGCTAAGTGACTTGTCCTCTCTTAAGCCTGTTTCCTCATCTGCAAAGTGAAGCTGATTATTCCTGTCCTAGGAATGCACTGAGATCACACAGTGCCTGGTTAAGTCCTCAATAAATGGTTGTTACTGCTGTAATTCAGGTCTCCTGACCATGACCGCCCAATCCCTTCCTTGTCCTCATGACATCATCTTGCATCCTCAGAGGACTCTATTATTATTGACACAAAACCTGCAGCTATAAACAACAGGTGTGCACAAGTCCCAGGGGCTGCTGGGATAAAAATGTCTTTCCTCCCCAAGGGGGATCATGAATGTTAAGATACACTTAACATGAGCTGGACATGATGGCACACACCTGTAATCCCACCACTGGGGAAGCTAAGGCCAAAGGATGTTGTTGAGCCTGGGCTACAGAGCAAGACTGTCTCAAAAAGTTTTGTCTTTCAGTACAAGGCTAGTTTTGTTTTTTTTTAATGTATTTTTTGTACAGGGTCTCACTTCACAGAACAGACTCAGTGATCCTCCTGTTTTCAGTCCCCCAAGCGCTGCAATTACAGGCGCACCACCATGCTGTCTCAGTCACCCTTTCAGCAGGTCCTGGGGGTGGGGCCAGCACAGGACGCCAAGGATTGAACCCTGGTTCCTGCGCCTGCCTATGCAGGCACTTTAGTCCGCTGAGCTATCTGGCCGGCCCTAGGTACAAAAATTTTTGAACTATTATCCAAATCATTAGGGGGTGGTGGGTGAAGGGGAGATTTCCTCTTGCTCTAGACTCCACAAGGCTCCTGACAGACTAAAGTAACACTGCCCCAGCTCTGACACTGCAGAGGTCGTGGGATGATGAGTCTGGTGATGACAGTTCTATTAGAATCATGTTAAACACATCAAAGGTTCTCTTAGCTAAAAATGAAGGTCTGACACTCCTTTAGGAAACTGGTTCCTACCACACAAGTTTTGGAGAGTTTATTCTTCCCATGCTGTGGAAGGACACTGTGTTCCCCTTTCATTTCCTCCCTCAAGGAGAAAAAGTACAGCAGTGCTCGGGGTCTCAGGGCTAAGCTGCTCCCACTGGTCCTAGCCAAGACAGAGACTGGTGACTGACCACTATAGAAGGGCAGACAAGCAACCAGAAGTTAAGTTGTGGATTTGGCCTTAGAGATCTGGAGTTTGAACCATGAAGCAATCAAAATAAAAAAGTAAACAGAAAGCCAGGGGGCAGCTGACCACAGAGCCCGAATCTCTGGATTCTGGCCACTTAAAAGTCCTGTCTAAAGGGGACAGCCTCCCAGCATCTGGTTCCAAGTGTCTCTCACCATTCTCCTTGGCTTTGACTTTAAAGGCCAAATCCAGATAGCTCAGTGGATTAAAATGCCAGCTTAGGCAGACGTAGGGACCAAGGTTCAATCCCCGGAGTGCCATGCCATGCTGACCCAGCCCCTGGGGCACACTGAGAGGCAATTAACACTGGGCATGGTGGCGCACACCTGTAATCCCAGTTTGGGAGGCTGAAAACAGGAGGATCACTACAAGTCTGATCTGTGTAGTGAGACCCTGTACGAAATACATAAAAATTTTAAAAAAAGTCCCAAGGGTGTGCCGTGGCAGAGGGCTCTGGACAGACCCCAGGATCTCTCCGGGGCCCTCCCTCTTGAACCTGACCCCTCAGGCTCCCAGGTGAATTCCAAGGAGGCAATAGCTCAGGAGTGTAAACAGAGGTGGGTGGCCAGGGACTAAGACCATGAAGACAGTGAGTTTCCTCAACAGAGATCTTAAACCATGAGCTTCAAGGTTTCTTTCCTTTATTTTTAAAAAGTCACACTGAGCATATAAAGGAAAATCCTGTTGTTCTGAACAAGAATAGGCAACAAAGAAAAACCAAAGTAAACTTGGAATTTACGAAGTGTTCAAGATAACAATGTGTTTAGGCGTCAGGCTAAGTGTGTGGCTTTCTAAGCTACAAGGTGCCAAAAAGATTCCCAGATGGCGTAGGAGCACTTCCTATTCCTTCAGGCAAAAGTGGGAGCTGAACAGAGAGCAGTGGCAGTGGGGCTGTCACTGTATCTCTTCCTGTTTTTTAAAAGGGGCGGGGGAGGGGGCAGGCGTTGCCGTCTTACATCCAAGCCTCTCAGTACAGTGCCCCTCTTAAACCCACCAGTACCAGGGCCGAGTTCCCACTGCTGCTGCTACTGGGGCCTTATGAGAGAGGGGCTTGGAAGATAAACGTTACCATTTTGGTTTTGTGAAGTGTAGATAGAAATGAGAGCTGCCCCTAAAGACACAGATTAAATTTATTTCCTTCCTAAATTCAGTTATTTTTTACTTTGGTGATTTGGGATTTTTTATTTTTTATTTGTATTTTGGGGAAGGGTCCACAAGGTGTTCAGGGTCTCATTACTAGATCGGACTCATAGTGATCCACTTGTTTACAGCTTCACAAGAGCTGGGATTACAGATGTGCGCCACCCCACGCCCAGTCTCAATTGCAGTCTCAGCATGCCCCAGGGATGGGCCAGCACAGCAGGCCCAGGGATTGAACCCCCGGCCTCTGCGTCTGCTTGCAGGTGCTTTATCCGTTGAGCTATTTGGCCGGCTAGGAACTTTTTAAAATCTTGAGAGATTCTTTAAAGCTTTTCTAAAGTCTTTTCAAAGTTTTATATAGAATTTGGTCAGAAATGACAGGTTGGGGAGTTGTGCAGCACTCACGACTGGGAACCCAAATCCTTTTATCAGCCATCTGTTTCTCACCTGAAACAGCCCCAGCTACCCCAGGACACCACAGGAGATCACCAGAGCCCAAGCCTGGCTTTACCCCTCCCCCACACACTAACACCCAGGGAGCACTGAGGCTCTGTGCTATCTTCACCTGTTTTTCGGTCTTTTTGAAACAGGGTCTCGCTATGCAGTTCAGGATGGCCTTGTGCTCACTTCGTAGCCCAGCAGTCTCGAACTCTGGTGCACCAATCCTCCTACCTTAGCTTCCCAAGTGCTGGGCTCACAGCTGTGCGCCATCATGCATGGCTTCTGTTTAATTCTACTCAACAGTCGGGGTGCAGCAACTCTCGAGCTTCTTGGCTTTATCTTTTTAGTTCTCTCTCCATACCTTACCCAAATAGAACAATGACCCTTGCCGACTACCAGTGTGGCACACACACTCATTATTCTCTTGAAAAAAAAGGTTATTCTCAACCTCCTAATCTATGGCAAAAAAGGGGCAGTCATCTATCTCTGCCCTCAACTGCGGGCTGCTAAGCTTTTTAAGTGCTATTTTAAGTAATTTCATGTCACTATCTCTGGGAAGGAATGAGACAGCTGCAGAAACACAGAAATCTCAGTTGATGGAGAGGTAGTAAGAATAGATGAAATTAGACTCGATGAGAACAAAATACTGGATGGCCAGATCAGAAATAAAACTGTCAGCCTTTTGCCACAAACAGAAAACACAAAATAAACAGACACATGGACATGGTGTATTGAAACAGTCCTTCCCACCCTCAGGATACATTTACATTGCCATAAATAGTGCAGTTTTTAGCAGCAGGAACCAAGAAGGAACGTGAGGAGCACCCACCTCCTTCTCCTGTGATTTAGCTGTGCTCTCCTCCTGGGTAGCACCAATCACTCCAGGTGCCAGGTGAGAGACTGGACGGGGGAGGACAAGGGCTGTGCACGGTCACCTGCCCTTTGGCCTCTGCAGGTACCAGGAATGCTCGGCATCACCCTTTCCTGATGGGCCTATGCTCACTGTAAGGCAACATCGTAGGCAAGGTCTTTCAGGACAAAACATGTTCACTGGGCCCCAGTGGTGACTGAGGTGACACTCAGCTTGCTGCCCACCTCATTCAGCCTCTACTGCTAAGCCTGGGTTCTTGCCAGGCCTTGTCCGACTGGCACTAGAAAAGGAAAGGAATGAAACAAGCACCCCCAGGAGATGGGGCCCCAGCCGCCGCCATTCCTTATCTTACTGGCAGCCAGATGAGATGCAGGCCCTAGGAACCAGCTCCGGGCCCCCCATGCATTGATGGCCACTAGTAAATAAAAATGCCAAGTAACTGCATCCTGTTGATCCTGCACGAGTCAGGAACAGGTGGCCCCAGGAGAAATGCTATTGGCATTTATGAACAGTTGGTTGAAGGGGTCGAGGGATGGGCCTGTTTGCTAGAAACCAGGATCAAAGACCAGCTCTTCCACCAGCCTCATCCCCAGAAACCCTAAATACTGTCTCACTGCTCACTCCACAGAGCTGAGCTTGCAAACCTGGAATCACAGCTCTTCTGGTATTTAACTAAAAGGCAACAGCTTGATTAGGCAGTTATGCTCCAGGGACAAAAGCAAACCAGAAGGCATGAAACAGAAGAGAGAAAAAAAGACACTGAACAGGAAGGGATAAAAGGGCAGGGCAGACAAAGCAGGACAGATGGGACAGAATGCAAAACATCAAGTGGTCTCCACAGCTCCAGGCCACCACTCTACCTTCTCAATTCATTCCAGAAAAAAATCAGCTCAGACCAAGGAGGGAGTAGGAAGCACAGTGTCTGGTAACAAAAATAGACAGGGCTGGGTAAGAAAATAAGAGATCAAAGAGATGTCATTCTAATCAGCATGACATAACCAAGACGATGACCAGAAAGAACCAGGAGGCACCTAGGGACCCTGTGAGGCACCAACTAAATAGTCGCGTGTTGCTAACGGAGAATCCAGGCCCTGACCACCTGACAGCTGCTTTGGCCTTCACCTGCCTTAGGTCTGCAGCAGCACCTCTGGCTCAGACAAGGAGCAATAGAGTGTGTATCCCAGCTCGTCGATTTCCTCGGGGGTGAGCTCTGCAAATAAGTTCACCTTGGGGTTCAGGGCACTAGGCAGGACTCCAGCCTCTAAGTAGCGGATAAGTCCCCTCAGGGCCTGCAGGAAACGATCGGCCAGCATGTCTGGGGACCAGTCGGTCTCCTCCTGGGCCAAGTGGAGGATGACATTGGTTAGCTGGCTGGCAGTGAGGTGGCCCAGAGCTGGGGTGGACTTGCATATGGCCTTGAGAATCTTGAGGCACAGAGATCGGCAGCCAGAGTCAGCCTGGTCCAAAGCCCGCAGGCGTGCCGTCTCAGCTGGACGCAGGCTGAGCCGCCACAGGTTGTCATACTGGGCTAGCCGGTGTGGTCTGGCCACCAAGACAGTGTCACCAAGGGTCACCGAGGGCAGGAAGTCAATCACAAGATGTTTGTCCCGCTCATACTGCACTTCCAGTGTCAGGGCCTCTGGGGGCGGTGCTGGTCGGATCACATAGTCCAAGAGGGAACCTATGGCAGGCCAATTGATGGAGCCAGCCACTACCTTCTCAAACGTATCTGCCACTGTCTTTGGGGACAGGTAGCCCCCTACTACACAGCGGTCCCAGTAACTGCTGCCACGAGGAAAGTACTCTGGGTTCTCACGACGAACCAAGAAGAAGCCAGGGATGTTCATGATTGTGTCCTCACCAGGGATGCAAGACCACAGGTTCTGCTCCAGCACAAGGGGAACAATGAGCTGGATATGGTCAGCTGTCACCACCTGTCGGGAGAGAATCAAACAGGTTTCGAGGGCTTTACTCTGCTCAGGAGACACAGAGTCCAGCATCTTGCCTTCTTACAACAGGAATGAACAAGAATGGAAGCTAAAAAATTATTTCATGTCACTGAGGCATTCAACACAGAGGAAACCAGAGAAGAGAGATGGGGACAGGAATTTAGGAGGGCCAGGTGTAATGGCACACACCTGTAACCCCAGCTGAGGAAGAAGGATCAGAGTTCAAGACCAGCTTGGCTATACAGTGAGGTAGGTCAAGATCAGCATGAACCACACAGCAAGATACTGTCTTACAAGTTTTAAAAAGGAATACAGAAGGAACAGGCTTCTTACAGCTCCTTAAAAGTTGCATTACTGAACAATGAGGTCAAAGACGATTCCAGGGCAGAAAAACAAATGCTGCTGCTGGGTGCAGGACTCACAAGCAGCGGGACCCCATCCAGACCCTGGCTTCCTGGGCTGCATTTGGTCAGTGCCTACCCCACCCTTCATGAGAAGAGTCTCTTACCTGTAGGTCATCATAGAGGCTGCCACTCAAGTACATGTCCCGAAGAGGCATGTCAGGCAGCTTGGCACGCAGGAAGCTCCGGAGCTCAGCGCATATGTCCACGGCAGCTTGCTTGGCCCGAGCCTGCTCTCCGGCAGGGATGGCTGCCCGGCTCCGGTAGTAAGTAAGGAGTTTCTCCTGCAGGGACATGCGGAGTCGTGACTTCTTCAAGTCTACCTGGCCTTTCCTGGCCAATGGCTTGGGCCGGGGCGGGCAGAATGTGTCTGCCAAGGCAAGAGAGACAAGCACGTGAGCTCTTCCCACCTGCCTCAGCCCCACAAAGGAGATGAGCCTGGCACAGAGGGCAGTGCCTGCACAGCCCGGCATGTGTGGTCAGGAAATGCTTGTACGACAAAAGGGTGGTACTGGAGGCCAACGGCCCTGCTCACCTGTGTCAAAGGCTGAGGAGTCTGTGGGGAGGGTCTGCAGGGACCGGCTCAGGCCTGTCTTCATGTCCCTGCTCAGCAGTCGCGGGGAGCCCATCCAGTTCGGTTCTTCCCAGCTCCTTTTCCCCGAGTGGCTCAGGCGAGTAGGGCTCGTAGGGGCACTGATTGCCCGATCGTACATCTGCAACGGCAGAGAGGCCACAGGACACAGGCGGCTTCCTTCTACTTCCTTCCAATTCTCTCCTCCCCAGCTTTGCCTTAAGAGTTCAACTAAGATGGAACCCAGAACCTCATATGTGTGCCCCAGCCTCAAGCTCTGCTTTTCAACAATTTTTATTCTATTGAGTACATTACTTTCTGCCAAAAATCTGAGGAAATACCAAACTCTATGCCAAAAATCTGAGGAAATACCAAGTGATATAAACAAACAAAAATTATCCATTAATGTCCCACAAATCAGAGAAAATTGCTAAGGGCATTTGGTGTATTTCTTTTTAAAAAATGTTTATATAATCAGCACAATAGGGCTGGTGAGATGGCTCAGTGGTCTAAAGCACCTACTTAGAACAAGCTTAGTAAAGCACAGGGAC